ACCCAGACTTTCCTTAAGAACCAGAATCTGCACTATACTAAGACTGCAGGTGAATTGTGTGTGCAATAAGGTGTGAGAAGCCCTTCTATCAGGTGCAGGTCACTCCAGAAACACTCAGGTGTCAGAGTCGGGAGCCTGTCCCGTTAAGAATGGCACTGTCCTGATACGGTGATTCTCAGTGGTTTCTTACTTGAGCTCCCTTGAATACACCCACAATCTGTCCCTCATTTCTCTTCTCTTCAGCCCTCATACCATCCCTATGAAGGCAAGGGATGTGTTATGCAGCATAGGTTACAAGAATATAAAACCAGAGAGATGTGCTCTAATGCCAGAAATACCTCTTTCTGATCTAAAACCATGTTCCAATACAGAGCCATCCTTTGCTCACCTATGTGAGAGTGGTAACAGATCTCCCGCTCACCTCAAGGTGCAGTTGTGGCAAGATCACTCAGCATGCATGAAAACACTTTGTGAGCCATAAAAGTATTCAACAAAGGAAGGAGGGGCTTATCATTCATTGTGCAATCATTATTTTCATGATTCTACATTATTTGGAAAGGGATGCTATAGTTAGATCTTAAAAATACTGAAACATATAAATGTATTAATTTTGTAAATCAGTGAAGTAAAAATATGCTTTGTTGCTCTCTTGGTTGCCTATGCTAAAGATTTTTGTTCTAAAAAGAACTGTAAAAATGTTTCCATTTTAATTAGGAATTATTCTTTTCAATTACATCTTTCAAAAAGGGTATTCCATATTTTAAAATGTTCCCCCACAGGTCCATATGCTAAAGGGCCAGTAGTCAGCCTGGTGGTAGAACCTTTAGGAGATGGAGCCTTTAGGAAGTAAAGTCACTGAGAAATGCCCTTGAAGGTGATACTGGGACCATGAGGCTTTGCCATTCTTTTAGCTTCCTGACCACCATGAGCTGAGCAGCTCTCTTCCACCAAACAATTCTCCAAAGATGCTGCCTCACCACAGGTCCAAAGTCAGCAGACCAAGCAACTGTGGGTTGAAACTCCTAGAAATCATGAACCAAAATAGAACATTCTTCCTCTTAAGTTGATTATCTCAAGAAACTTATCAGAGTAGCAGAAAGCTAACACAAGGGCTACATCAGTGTTGTCATTAAGTAAATAGATTGGCCTGGAAGGAGAAGGACTGGGTGAGAAGAGAAACTGGCAAGCCTTTGGCTCTGCACATGGTCCTGATGCAATCCCTGACACTGGTAGGGTCCAGGCAAGGGGCCTGGCCACTGCCTCTCAGCAGCTCTAGCTGTGCAGTTCAGGTACTCTCAACACTCTCTCAAGTAACTTGTGGTTCAGTGTTCACTTAAATCTCTCATCTCTCAAACAGGCGTGGATGGGTATCACTGACTAAGGATATGTCAAGAGCTACAGTTGGAGGTAGGAGAGTCCTAGACTGACTGGGAAGAGCCAGCATCTTACCAGAACTCAGCCTCTGGGTGTTCTGCTGGTCCTGCTGCTGCTGCTGCTGCCGCCTGGCCAGCTTCTTCATCTGTTGAGGAGAGGATAACAGGATTAGGAGTTGGAGACCTACAGTGGGTTCACGGGGTAAGGGAGAACAGAAAGGGTGTAGCCTTCACCCTTAGGTCAGAGAAGGGGTCCTAAAGGAGAGATCAACCCCTGTTTCCCAGCTTCTATTCCACCCAGCAGGCACTACCCCAGGAGCCGGGATCATGGCTGGCACAGCTTGCCTTCTCAGAAATGGGAAATTCCTCTCAGCAAGGGCCACTTGCTACGCTCACTGGAACTGCTTTGTATAAGGCAATAAGTCTGTGAACATGGGTTCTAGAGCCCAGGATAGAGCCCATGGACTGCTGATGAGGAGGGGCTTGGGATGAGCCCAGAGAAGGTCTCATCTCCTCCCCCATCTACTGACCCTGTGTTTGGAATACCTACTGGGAGATCTATGCATCTAGCTCAGAAGCTTGTCTATCAAAAGGACATTTTTTTACCCAACATTTCTCAACCTGTGCTCTGAGAAACATTAGCATTCCATGAGATCTTAACATTTGCTTTGTGTGTGTGTGTGTGTGTGTGTGTGTGTGTGTGTGTGTGTGTGTGTAGGAAATGCTAGATTTTAAAATAAATTTCTTTACCATAACATTTCCCAGGGCTTTCAATGTGCCCTGCTTTGTGACTCCACAGGCTATCGGTCTCTCACACTAACTGCTCTCTGGAATCTTCTTCTGAAGGAACAACACATCAACAGCCCTGTTCTGAGCAATTCTGTTGCAGAATTGTGACTCAACAAGGAAAGTAATTTATCACTCACTAAGGACAGGATCCTTGGGGCTGGGAAGATATCTCAGTCCATAAAGTGCTTGCTGTGTAAGCATGAGGACCTGAGTTCAGTCCCAGAACTTATGGAGAAAGTTGGGCATGATGGTACACATTTGTAATCCCAGTGCTGGGGGATGGAAACAAGGAGGATCCCAAGGCTCTCTGACCACCCAGTCTAGACTAATCAATCAACCTTGGGTCCCAGTGAGAGACTCTGTCTCAAAAAAACAAAAACAAAAGCCAAGACAGACAGCTGTCCTGAGGAACTACACTGTAGTTGACTTCTGTTCTCTACACGTGTGCTCACATGTACACACACACACACACACATACACACACACACAAAGACAAAAATAACTAAGACTAGGATCCTGCAAGAAACATACCAGAACACATGTTTGTAGAGTCAGGAAGAAAATAAGCAACTCTAAGAGCCGGGCCTTGATTGTGACTCAGGACAGTAAGGCAGCTTGGCCCTTGCTAGTGAGGCCAGATGCTGCACGAGAGGAATGAGACATTCATTCCACCTGCCTTAATGTCATTTAATCTTTACTTTTTTCTTGGCACAGAGTCTCACTATGTAGCCTAGGCTGGCCTTGAACTCATGATCTTCCTACCTTAGCTTCCTGAATGTTAGGATAACAGGTATGTACCACCACACCTAGCTCATAATGTCATCTTAGACTTGTCATATGTATGCCTAGGGGTCTCTCTTTGAAAATTTAAAAGAACATTGATATCTGTAGTAAAAAATAATATATATATATATATATAATTAAGAATAAATGTAAATTTAGGGCCAGTGAGACAGCTGGCAATTACAGGTGCTTGTCACCAAGGCTGATGATGACCTGAGTTTGACCCCTCAGATCCACATAGTGGAAGGAGAGAACTGACTCCTACAAGTTGTCCTCTGACCTCTATGGGTACACCATGGCACACATGTGCACACACACACACACACACGCACACATACACAAAACATAAATAAAATGTAATAAAATTTTTTGGAAAAAGAGTAAGTGGAAATTTAAAAATTTGTTAATTACAGTGGTTGGACAGCTGCTTGGGGAAAAAAGTCATTTCATTAAAACAAATGCTCCACTCTCTTCTGCATGGCTGCAATAATCATTGATGGCAGAATATTTTAATTAACAGAGCTACTCTGCCCAATGAGTGAAGTCAGAAAGCCTGGCAGGAAATCCAATGTCTCTCTGCTGTTGTTGGAAGGAACCAGCAACACAGAGGTAGGCAACAGTGAGAAGCGCATTACCTTGGCTCTCTGGTTCTGGAACCACACCTGAACGACACGGACGCTCAGCCCTGTCTCCGCAGCCAGAGTCTCCCTCACCTTGAAGAAATTGAACATTATGAGCATGGAAGCACTGACCTCTCAGGGTAGAAGGCAGAACATCTCCTGTGCAATTCAGGGAGGCAACAGGTCATATTCTTTAACGGCAGCTTGTGATTAATGTCAGACATACCAAACACAGGAGCACGCTTCCCTTCAGGTAGAGGAGGCGTCTTTCACCAGATAAAGAAATAAAAAGATGCTCACTTAGATACACATTCCCAGGAGGAATCTCTGGGTTTCCCTTACTCTGAAATCGGGCCTTCATGTGGTCTCTAGATACTATTGGGGTCTCCAGCTCTTAGCAAGGGGCCTTCATGTGTGCTAACCTACTTCAGGAGAACGGAAGTGAACATTGCTTTGTGAAAACCAATGGTTTTCTCTTGCTCCCTTTTCTCGTCTAAATTCATTGACTTACAATTTTACTTTTGTCACCTAGCTACAGATGACTTTGGGTGTTTAATGAATATTCATGTTCACTATTACTCTAAGTGAGCCCTTCCCAGAGAAAATAAGATGTAAGTGAGTCATCTGGGCTCTGGCAGAGCCAGGAGAGCAACTCTGATGTAAGTGCACTGGGGCCGGTGAAGACAAGGACAGCTGGAGTCCAGATATAGAGATGTGCTTAGTTATCTGGTGGCCATCCAGGCACATAGTGAGGGGCTGGAGAGAAGGTAGGAGGGACTCAGAGACACTGCCCCCCTCTTGACACATTCCAGAGAAGATAGACTAAAAGAGTTTGAATGAGTGCAGGGTAGAGCAAACCGGGGCTTTGGGAAAAACTTTGCCTTGACCATACCATTGGGCTGAAGCTCAGAAATGGAATAAGTAGGCTAGGTTGCTAAGGTACATCTTCTACCAGTCAGCTAAAAGGAGTGTACATAGGGGCCCCTTGAACCTGCTGAAACTCTATCCACATCTCAGAGGCCCAGCTCAGAAGCCACCTGCTCCACAAAGCCTTACAGATCCTCAAACAGAAATGACTTTTCCCTTTCCCACAGCTCCTGCAGCCCCTGTTATGTTGTCACAGGTCTCACCCTGGTGTGACAATTGTGTATACAAATGACCTCCTCACTCTGAATTGTTCTTATGTAAGCCCATTTGGGGGTGTTTCACTTTCTGCCGGTACGTTTCTCCGAGTGTAGGGAACTGAAAGGGTGGGGAGGGGAATGAAAATCCTATAGTTAAGTTTTCCTAAGGTCAAAAATGGGACAGACTATATTATTGTTCGACAAATACCTAATCCTTCTTCTCCTACTCTGTGGAAAGGTGAGGCACACTTCGCTTCTATAGCCACATTGTGCTAAGCCCCATGGCTTGTGTGGGTCTATGGAACCCAAGTGAACATAATGCATATTGTCTGAGCAGGCTTCTATGACTCCCTGACCTGCCTTCTCACATCCTCATGAGAATAACAGGCCACAAGTACATTGCTCCTGCAACCTGGACCTACAAATGAGAGACAGGCAAAGCATGCCTGCCCCTAAACCCAGCCAGGCCATAGCCAATGTACAGCTCAGGAATAGGAAATGAATGCTTGCTGGGGGCTAGTAAGCTTTTGGCTTGTTTCGTCACCACAGTAAAGGTTCACTAGTACAGATAATGGCTTCTAAAACAAAGCCAAACTGTATTTCTTGCATGAATTTCTAGAAAAAAAGTTTTCTTTTTATTGTGTAAAAATAATAGTACCTATCTAATATACGATATGGCAGCAGTCAATAAGTACTGAATGCTTGATAAATGGACACATCCTTTGTGGCAACAACTGCTAACTGTCCACAACATCCATCTTCTCCTCCTTTCCATCAGTAGCTGAATCCTAAGTATTAGCAAGGCACATGGTCTCCTAGGTGAATTCATTCCCCCAGATTCCCACAGAGGATATGTGACCACAAGACTAAATTTTTGCCAACATATGTAAGCGGAAGTAATGTGGACAAACAGTGTGTCCTCAGAAGGACAGTTGTTTGCCTTCCACTTCCGCGTTTTCTGCCCTGATGGCTGGGAAAATGGTGACTGCTTGAGCAACTTCTGGGACCCAGGTGATGGATTAACGGAGCTGCCTAGCCAGTCTTGGCTTACTCTCTTTTGATTGTGATACAAGAGAAATATAAAGTCCTATTTCATTACGCCAATGAATAATCTTATGCAAATGTTCACAGCTACGTTATTTGTAATACCCACAAACTGAACACAACCCAAATCCCCATCAATGGGTGAATGGAAAGTCACAGCATATCCATTCAGTTGTATGCCATCAGAAGGAAGGAATTACCACATGGAGTCCTCAAATCAACACACCAAAGAGAACAAGCCAGGCCATCCCCATAAAAGCACATACTGTAAGCCACTGTATTTTTATATTCTGTGTTAAGGCATCTTGGTCTATACCACAACTAGTACCTATTATTACAATGATTTTTATTACTATTATTATTCCTTGCTGTTCTTCATGAAATGAGAGGTATGAGCCAGGGCCCTTTGAAGCTGTATGTACACAGAATATCATGGGGTGACTCTACTGCTTCTCTCCAGTCATGGCTTAGCGACCTTGGCACCTGCTGCAGGGCTCATGGCTACCTGCAGACATTCTGAGTCACATTCTCCCCTACTCAGACCCCCACTAATATCCCACAGAAGCTCAGGTGCACACAGATGTGTGGTGCCTTGCTCCTTTTTCCTGCCTTTTCTTGTACCTTTCTGCAGGGCTTGGAGGACACTTCAAATGAAGCCTTGAATGCTCTCCTCTGCTGGGTCGTCAAGATGGTTCTGGGACGTTTGGGGCGCTTATGGTCCTTGCCATCCTCAGAAGCTCCTTTCCCTGCCCCGTGGGCTGATTTGCAAAGACTTTCTTCATCATCACTTTTGCCTAAAAAGAAGCAGAAAACAGTATGGTGAGTCCCTGAATGAACCTTGCGGAGCTGTACACTGCTCCATAATAAGGCTCTGAGATGACACATTCCTAGAA